ACAACTGCATTGTGCATCACTTGCTTTGCATATTCTTTTATTATTATTATTTTATTTTAATTATTAAACTGTTTTTATCCCAACCCACGAGTTTTCTCACTTTTAGTCTTCTGATTCTCTCCCCCATCCCACCCGGGGGGGGAGAGTGACCGAGCGGCCGTGTGGTGCTCAGTTGCCGGCTGAGGTTAAACCATGACATCTTAAGAGAAAGCGCTGTCCAGATATCACGTGTGGGGCAACAGCCACGCTGGTGGGGGCTGGGGACGGGCATTCTGGGGCGGGAATGAACTCACTAGGAAAGTCTCCGAGTGCTGATGCTCTGATGGGGAAGAAGTTTGTTTTACAGGTCTTACAATGGTTCAGAAACTAGGGAAGAACCATCACCCAAGATAAGCGTGTTTGGCAATAATGACAGTAAAAGCAAGAGTTTCTGGAGATGATATTTCTCCGGGCTCCTGCGTGACTGCCATACAGCGCCTGGGCTGCCCCGTAATGAGATATCCCACACGTTATAGAGACCGCAACCAAAATCTCTGGTATCGGTGTAGATAGAGCTCAGAGCTCTCCCACGATGTGCTGGTGGGCTAGCCAGCATACACAGAAGAGTGCTAGTGTTGCTCTCCGAAACAAGAGACAGAGCACAGTGGATTTAACTCCTTGTTGGTGAAAAGGCACTGAATCAGATGAAGAGATTTTAACACCATAAAATGTGTTATCATAAAGTGTGACCTCCCATTCAACACAGGCTGCAACACTTCAGCTTTTGGCAGAGACCGATAACTTGCATGTGGCTAAATGTGTCTTGTCAAAAAGACTTCCCCATCTTGTGTGAGCATATCAGGTCACCGGGCATCCGCCTCTCCCCTAAAACACACTGCTGGTTAACCTCACAGATGGATTAAATGTCAGGAGGAAGCAGGAGCTGCTTAGCCAGCAGAGACGGCGGTCTGCTGCCGTCAGCAGCTCTTTTTGTAGAAGCTCGGTTAGCTTTTGCTATTGTGCTTCTTACCTTCTTCTTGACAGGCCACGTGGCTGCTGGGCCCTTCACGGCATCCACCCACTTGACGGTGCGCAGGCGGTCGTCCCAGTCGGTAACCTGCTCTGGCGGCAGCTGGAAGGCGATCCTAGCCACCTTACACTTCACAGGGTGCATTTTGAAGGCGACTGCGACATCTGATTTCAAGGTCACTGTGATGTCCTTAGCACAGCCAGCATGGAGGTGTCCCACCTAGGGAGAACCAGAGAGCCAAGACCAAACTGGAATCACTGGCAAGGGCAGGACTGACAGCAAAGGGATTGCTGTGGTGAGCAGCTGTGCCAGGAATCCGCATCTTACTGTGTATTTATCTGAGGTTTGATAGAGAAAAGTACAAACAAAAGATGCCACCTCCCATAACACAAAGCCTTTTCTGCGGGGCTGACAGCCCTGCCCCAGCAAAGCCAGGGACGTGACACTGGAGTGGGCTCTCACCGATACGTGGTGACTCCCTGCCAGCTCCCAGGAACCCGCCGGGCAGGGCTCGAGCAGCAGGGAAAGACAGAGCTGTCCAAACTCACCTGGGGGGAGAAGTGAAACGGGGTGCCTGCCAGCCACTCAAACCGCATCCCTTCCACCCTGCTGCGATTGGTGATGGTGAAGGTCACGGGGTAGGGTGTCCCGATGTGACAGTCCCCGAACTGGATGTGATCCACTCTGGCAGCTGTTAAGAATGAGAGCAAGGGGTCTCAGCGTGCGGTGAGGTCCATCCACCCCCCTCACACGCACAGACACACGTATGTCCAACTCCCCTCCTCGCTCCAAGCCTTCCTCCCTCTGGGAGATGCCGTTCCCCATCCTACCGCTTTCAGAGATACACCCCGACACGTCCCTAAACACGTGGCTGTGTCTGTGCAGGGGGACGTGCAGTGCAGCACGCACTGCCTCCGTGCACATGGCAGGCACGCTCACAGACCACCAGGTCCGGTGGGCGACCGCACAGGTCTGGTTATATAGAGGACACAAATTATCATACGTGGTCTTCATCTCCATAGCATACCGTGGGCTGGCAGACCTCCTTTTAGAGATACTCAGCTGAACGCTGGTATCTCTGACCCTTCCCTGCTAGCCTGCATGCTTCCCCCTTGACAGAGGCTCTTCCCTTGTATTCTCAAGTGTGGCTGCCCTGCAGGCTACAAAAGGCAACAGGATCTGTCCGCTAAGTCTGGACCACACCTGCACCGGCACAGGGTGAGCAGAAATGCGTATTTTCCTGTTCCCTGCTCCATCTTGGCAGCCTCTCCTCTCTTACCCTCGATTATGTCTTCCTCCAGATTGCCCTCAGTGTTCTCCTCCTTGCTGTCTGCCACTAGTCCATGGATGTTATCTAGCGTGAAGTCATCCTCGTAGCCTTCACCCACCAGCTGAATGTTGGTCTCTTCATAGGGGTTGTCCACCACTGACAGGTGGATCTTCCCTTCCACACGTTGGGCCAGGTTGGGTTTGAAAAGCACGTCAAACTCTGCTAATTCCCCGTGATGCAGGACCAGGGAAGCGGTGTGGGGCTTCCTCTCTGCACAGCAATGGAAATCAGAGACAAGTGATACAGCCGTACAGAGGAAATATTTCCACGGGCCATAAGAGGAATAAGAAGTTGAAACCCAGCTGCCTCTAAGCACAGGTTCTCCCATCACCAGTTCCAGACCCTCCTCCTGTATTCACAAGACTATGACACCACCATGCATATCACTGCTTAAGTGTCTTAGCCTCAGGTTAACACCCAGCTCTCACTCAAACTGCCTCCAGCCAGCTCCTGCCGTACGTGAAGCTGAGTCAAAGGGTGGTTTTGGCTTTTGTTGGCTGGCTGTGGGCTCAAGGGCTGCCTCCGTTCAGACCGGTAACTCCCCACACGCAGCAGAGACCTCAGACAGTCCATTCAAGTGGTGATAATTCCCCACAACTCAACCCACCACGTCCAGAAGAACAGAAAAACTTCCTACAACTTGCTAGGAGGAAACCCTGCAAAGAGTCCACGTGAAAAGCTAGGGGTAACAGAGAGCCCCAGGAAAGAAACGATGTCTAACATCTGGCTGCTGCTCGGCCAAGCCAAGAGCAGGGCACACATTTTCCCTGTGTGGATGACCACACTTCATGGTTAACGAATTTACCTTCTCCAGGAGAGTCCTCCTTCACGCCTGCAGCCTGGTAGATGCAGTGTGTGGTGGGCCTGGCTTTCAGGAAGAAAACTCCCCCTTCATCCAACAGGTCTATCATCAACTGAGAAAAGGGAACACAGAGCACGACCACGCTGGTGCGCGTACAGGATGGCACGCAGACTGACACCCTACTGCTGCTGGTCCAGCACGGGGAACCCAGCACGCTTCCCTGCTTCAAACACAGCTCTTGGCACAAAGTTTAAGTGAAATCAGACAGAAGAAAAAGAGAAGAAAAAAAAAAGGTGTTCAGAGGCACTGGGATATGATTAAAATATAACCAAACAGGAGAGAAAGTACTAAAAGTAACGAGCAGAATGTAATTAAACTACAACTGAGTTCAATTAAAACGTAGTAAAATGTGATCAAATACAATCTAATGTAACTAGGACATCACACATTCCCACATGAGAACCAAAGCGCGAGAAGAGAGACGGGGAAAAATACCCCACCAACTTCCTTGGGTTGTGTTGAACTGAAAAGGACAGACTGGTCAGAAAACCACATTTCCAAGAGGAACACCCTTCCTGGAAAGTAGAAGTCAGTCATTTCCTTAAGAAGAATTTCTGAGACCCATTCCCACGCAGTTCCCTGAGGCACAGAGCGGAAAGAGTAACCGGCACAAAACCCAAGGGTGGGTCGACACTAGTGAAGACAGCAGCAGTGGTTGCAAAGGAGACGGAGACAAAGGTGAAGGGCTGACGGAACTTTCCTAGAGGGATCTGGCTGAGAAATGAGACTCTTCCCGCTGGTTTGCCAAAGCATCTTCCAGAAAGTCAGAGGGGGTTATTCTCCTGCGACGGAGTGGCTCTGAGCACAAGGAAAGGGTTTCGTTTGATGTTCAACTGCACGCATAGAGTAGCGTGTCTACCATATCTGTGCATCTCTACCATGTTTTCTGGCGCCTTTCTTCCATGGCACAAGGGCTTGTTCCCAGACCAGAGCATTCCCTGAGCAGGTCCTCACCTGGACAGGTACGATGCCACCATTATGAAGGACCAGAGGGAGTTTTTCTGAATCACCCAGCAACAGCTTCTTGAAGAGCAGCAGAGGGTTCCCTCTCTTATTGTGAAGGACCGGGCGCAGGACCGTCACCCGAGGCAGATTCCCATCTCCACTGATATTGAAGGTCAGGCTTTGTGCTTTAATTGCTGCAGGGCTGCAGGAGAGGCAGAGGAGAAATCGCTACGGCTGGTACTAACCCATTTCCCACTTGCCAAGCAGTGAAGCGAGTGCCACCCACTGCGTTTTCCCTGGCTGGTGCTCCTGGTACCCCACGACACAGCTCCCCCTCACCCCTCTCGTCCCAGTCAGATCAGGGCCATTCACAAGAGGAATCTGCTCTGAAGAGCCAGAGCCTTCCAGAATAACAGTTAAAAATCATTTCACTTCATTGAATCACGCAGTAGAGCAGGTAAATAATGAGGCAACAGATGACACACGGCAAATTCACTGGCTGCAGTGATACGAGACATATGCAAAAAGCACAGGCACAGCATGAAAACAGTATAAAAGCAAGAAGGGAGAAGTAAATAAATAACACCATCAGTAAAGACTATTTCCAAGGACACTAAACCAGGAATTGCTTATTAGGGCAGAAAGCTGACTTATCTTGTCCCAGTTCAGCGACTAGAGGGTTGGGGAAGAGCAGGTCAGAGCCCTGATACGAACACAGGTCCCAGGACAGAGGAACTGGGCTCCTCTTCCATAAGGGGTCCAATCGCTCCTTAACATAAACTATCTTAATATACCCCAGGTAATCGCATCGAATCATCTCATTTTAACATAGACAAGGAGGGAATAATGCATGCTGACTTGCTGGCACAGAAACCTCTTCGTCTAACCTTTGTCCTTGGAAAGCCCCAGCTCAGCTGTTGCACATCTCCATTGCTTTCTGATTCAATAACTTCCAGTTGGCCACCTAATGTTGCACTGTCTTCGTAGCCACTCATATAGGCTAAGCCATGACCCTTATTTTTCTGCTCTGCTGTATCGAGTAGTTACTGCCTCCGATATTATCTAATGCTAAGCCCTCTACCTAAGGCTACTGAAAGCATTAGGGTTAACAAGAGTTAACGTCCTCCCAGAGGAGAGGCAGCTATCAGAAAGGTGTCCTCCCCCCCCAAGATTTCACAGGGCGAGTTACCTTGCCTGGACATCAAGGGAAGCCTCAAAAGTGCACTGGTAGTTCTGCATCGTTTGTGGAGCGAAGGTCACCGTAGCAAAGGCGTGGGAGCGGCTGGGCACACACATCCGAACGGGATCCACCTCAAAAACGTCGCTAACGCGGCTGTTAAGCTTGAGGGAACGCGCAAGGTGGTGTTAGGAGAAAACATCCTTCAATATGATGCAGTCTTATTCATGTATGCATCATGGGGAACAGCCCCAGGCAGCGTTTTCCTTCCTGCTTCCCTGGACAGGCTCCTTCCATCTCAGGGGGTGACTCCAAAGTGGTGCTGACCTCGCACAGGGAGCTGCCGTAAAGCCCAGGGGTGCAAAAGCTTGCTCTGAGCGCTGGGCAGCCACCCCAGCATACATGGGAGGTAGAGACTGCAGGGAAAACCCTGCAAATAATCTAGAATTGGCCTTTAAGGAGAAGGAAAAGACCAGGGAGCCTGAGGAGATGGTCTGCTTTGAGCCCTGGCACATCAGTCCAGTAAAAGCCCCCCTCTGAGTGCGCTTCCGAGAGATATTCAGAAGGGTTCAGGTCTCCCACCGAAGACCCAGAGGGGTGAGCCAAAACCTTGCTTGAAACACGCTGAATTCAACCCAACTGTCGCCCCGGCATTGCTGCTCTCCCCTGTAGTTTGACCTGCACCGAGCTGGACTAGTCTGGGCAAGAGAATGAATCTGGAGAACAAGGCAGGCTATCACCCAGCCTTTAAAGAGCAACAGCCACCTTGGCCTCTTGTTCTTACCTTACCGGGGATGGGTTTGACGGAGAGGACCACGTCACAGGGGACTTTGTCCACATTGCGGATCTTGAAGCGAGCTGCGGCCCGGTGCCCAACCAGAACATTGGTGAAGATAAACTTGTTCTCATCTGTGATGAACACGCCCTTGTCTTCCACTGTCTGTAGGATCTGGCAGAGGTTGATGTTGCTGCAGATTCGATGCTCCTCAAAGATGGACTCTATGTCGTCAACCACAAATGCTGCAAGCAGACCAGAGGGAGGGCTGGGGCTGGAGAAGCCTTCCTGCTGAATTTATCTGGACCCTGTTGGCCTCTCAGAAGGCTTGATAAGCCCTTTCTGCCCAGGTCACTGCAAAACCCAACCTTGGGTGGGGGAGTTGGCTGTGAGGGTGGAGCTCAGTCACCCTCATTCTTAAAGGGTATTGCTTTCCTTTTATCCTTCCACGCATCCCTCCCAGCCTCTCGCCACTGGCGGACTTGAAAAGGACTGGAACCTCTGAGGATTTTAAGATGGGACTTCAGGGTCAGGGTGCCTCTCTATCAAGCAGTAAGTTTAGGTGCTGATCAGCAGCAGGTCTGGCCATGGGAATCTGCGGACGGGGCGTACCTGGGAGGCAGGACTCGGCAAACAGGGTATAGGGGATGCCGAGGGGATTGTCCTTGGGGTCTCTGTCGCTGATATCGATAGACAGGTGCTCCTTGCATGTCCCCAGTGGCTCTGCGTAGCAATCCACCGTGATCATCTGCTGGCCCCCAGGAGGGATGGAGCCAAAGCCAGGGTACACCGTGAACATGCCTACAGTGAAGCGAGCCTGCAGAAAGAGTCCCAGGAGAGGCTGACGTCTAACAGCCTTACCTTGAGCAGCCCCAGCAAGGAGTATGCCACTCCTTGTCCTCCAGCCGGGCCCGAGCCCCCAGTCCCAGGGCAGGGAGGGATGATTCCATGGCCCAAAGGCAGCCCCAGGATGAGATGAACAAGCCAGGAGGAGCTGCAGGCCTGTCCTGAGTGGCATAGGGAAAGGAATTTGGGTGTAAAGGGTGAAGGTGGTAGCTGGGATCCTTCAACCTTCAGGGGTAAAACAGGAGAGCGGAAATAACCGTGAGAAATGATGAGAGGAAAGAGGGGATTGGGAAGAAGAAAAAGCAAGGTCATCTGATATCTATGGCCTGGGAGTTCAAACAGGGACATTCCGCATCTGTGATATTCACAGACCTATTTTGGCTAGCAGCTACCAAACACAGGACCTGCTCCCCTCTCTTGACCCCACAACTACAGGTCTGAGCCAGAGCACGGGACTGTCAGTGCGACTGAGCAGCTCCTGCCTCTCCTTGTGGCTGGGAGATGATGGACCTCCATCACGCAGACCATGTCCCATCCCGTGGCGATGAGCCCGCAGCCTGGGCACAGCAGCATCCTCCCACACCACCTGCAGCGGCGTGTGTCGGGGAGCAGGAGCCACCCACCTGCATGAAGAGGTTTGCATCCTTTTGCAGCGAGTGCTTGCTTTGCTTGACTGAGGGAGTCATTTTGCTTAAGCTTTCACTCTCGTGGGAGCAGGCAGATTTCATTTGATGTGCGCTGAGAGGAGAAAGCAGAAAACATCCATCACGCTGAGCTCCCTCTGCCTTTCTCTGAGGCCAAAGCTGGCCTTCCTCCCCATGGAGGAAAGCCTCCCTGCTCCTGATGGCTCCCGGAGGGCTGCCTGCAGCACCTATTGCTGTAGCTTATGGACAGATCAGCTATATCACCAGCTTCGTCCTACACACGGGGACGCTGAGGCATTTTTCCGCTCCCTGTCCACAAGCCAGTGACGCAAACGGACAGTGACCTGTCACACACCAGCCATGCTGCGGTGCCTCCTCAGGCAGGAAGGGTGGTGCGGGTCTTCTCTCACCTTTTCCTTGGCAATACAGGTGCATCCTGGTCTGCTCGGTAGATGAGGAATTTAAAGTCGAGGATGCCTTCGTTCTCCAGCGTGAAGGTGCAGGTTTTCCTGGTGCCGTTCATCATGGCACCGAAGTTGATGAGCGAGGCAGGGTAAATGCTGTACTTGCTGAACACAGCTTTCGCTGACACCCTCACTGGGATGATGGCGATGGTCTCGCCTCCTTCACAGATGCTGGGCTCAATCACCTGCAACCGGAGGAGGGGTTGGTAAATACAGCAGAGGCCAGCCTCTATCTCTGTCCCCTGATGCCACCCCGAGTCCCCCTCAGCTCACCCTCCCTGTTTAAACGCCTCCTCCAGAGCCAGATTTTCAGCTCTGCTTAGGAAGCATCACAAATTGTTTCTGAAAGACTTGATTGCGTATGTATGAGAGAGGATTCCCCAGCCTTCCTTCCAGAAGACACGTGTCCTGCTTACACTCCCAAGACATGGTGTGCTAACACCGCCTGGCCCAGGCAGCTCACCTGGCAGTGCAGGATGGGTTTCTCCTCAATATTCATTTCCATCTTGGGGTGGAAGAGCAGCTGGACCTGCACGGGGCGCTCGGAGACAGTCAGCACGCCCTTCTGCGGCTGGACAGTGAAGTGGGATGCCAGGTCGGGTATGTTGGTATCTGTGGTTTCCAGCTTGAAACTGGGGAGAAAGGGAAGGAACGAAGACCTCTGCAGTTAAAAGTACCGGTGCCATCAGCACAGCCAGGACTTTGCATAGGACCATAAAATAATAAAAGGGAAAGAGCCCAGCTCCGCTTGGGGAACCCCAGATCTTGACACAGAGTGCAGACAATCAGGAGTGCTGTAACCTTACTTCGACACAGATTTTTTTTTTCATTCTCTCCTTTAAAGAGTCTCAAAGAGAAATGAGCTGACCCTCAAAGGAAGAAAATGAATCTCAGCAGTGAGGGGTTTAAGTTTCAGGGTCTCTCCTGGTTCCTGCTGAGCTGTCAAGAACTGCTGGTGTGTAGCTGGACTCTCTGTTAAAATATTTGACATTAGAGAGCCCAGGTTTTGTATTTACCCGAACTGTGAGGTAGCCGGCATGGGAACGGGTTCTAGTCATGGACAGAAGGAGAATGCAGGCCTGGGCAGATGGTGGCACCATGCATTCACAGACCAGGCAGCTGGACCCACCTGTACACAATCTCGTACTTCCCTTTGTTCTTCAGAGTCAGCACTTGCTTCGCATCATCCAGGACCTTAAGGATTCCAAAATCCACGCTGCCATCGGTACCTGCAGAAAACCCACAGAGCGAGGTAAGAAATGGTGAATATTTGTGAGCTGCTGTAGACTACACCAGGTGATAAGATACATATTTGGAGTTCTCAGGCGGCACGCAACCCTTCTCAGCAGGTTTCCCTTCTTGGAAGTTTTCTCTAGCTACTTCGCTGCCCTTTCTCTTCTTACTTGGAGAGTATCTGCAGGGCTTAGCAGCTAAGGAGCTCGGTTTCCATCTCCTTGCTTCCAAGCACAGATCCAACAACTCCATGTGCCGTGCTGAGCCTGCAGGAGTTGCCAACTGCTTGTTCACATCGCTGTTGTTTCAAAGCCTCCAAACCAATCTGCACATGAAGTTGCACACTTCAAATTTCAGAGGCGAGAGACTCAAGGCTGCCTGTGCCCTGACAGTGCTTCACTCCATGCAGCTTGCAGGATATGTGCTTTAATTACCTGTGCCATGCTTGCATGCTATCCCACCCCACCCCACCCCACCCGCGTTGGTTGTCCATCTGCCAAGGCAATGCAATGCACCAGGCTACTTTGTTTTGGGGTCATCCACTGACCTTTAGAAATGCTGATGCTCAGAGCAACATCGTAGGCCTCTGCAAGGATTTGGATATTTTCAATCTGAACAATCCCCAGGACGTTTTCTGCATCTGAAACCTGAGGCGGTGAGAAACAACCACTGCTCAGACCATTCTCCTAAATTCCTTTGGTAGGCAACATACAAGTCCTTGTCTCTGCCAGCTGCTTCCACCATGACCTCCCCTGCTTGCCAAGCATTTGTGACTCCCAAGCTTTCCTAACCTGTTCATCTCACGGGCTGACCCAGCGGGATTCTGCTGCAGTAAGAAACCCTATCAGCCCAGCTCTTCACTCCTACAGCAGGGAACGCTGCTGCTAAAGCACCCTGGGAGGCACAGTGAAGTAAAAGCAACCACAAGAAGTGTGAGCTGTCCCAGAGCAGGTGGCATTGACAATCAACCCTCTCCTCTTAAATCACCCAGCACCCTCACTGAAATACAGCCCCTAAACCACGGGGAGCAAAATCCCAGGGCGAGAGCTTGTTGCTCTGTGTTAAGAGCCCCAGGCAGACTCCAGGATGGGTGCAGGGAGCACGCCGAAGTCCGGACAACCGAGCAACAGCATTCAACCACCCACAGCAGCAAGGCGGTTGTAGTACGGGCTCAAGACGCAGCCTCATAACCCAGGTGTAAGCCCCGCGGAGGCAGCGGCTGGTTATCTGGGGTGACGTGGATGCTCAGGGATGCACCGCGTCTTCTGGTGAACCCAGTTTGAGGCAGCAGAAGTTGGGGTCGTAGCACCCTTGTGTCTGTCAGGTACACCTCTCCCTGACTCCACAATATACTTGCCCCATGAAGCTCAGCTACAAGAGCACCCTGGCAGTCACTTAGTTTCCAAAACATTACCCTTCAGCGAGAGTCCCTTGCTGCTAAGGGCACGGCCCCCCGGCAATGCGGGTAGAAAGGAGTCTCATGAAGGCTCATCCTTTTGCCCTCTTTGCAGGGTACCCTTCAAGCACAGTCTCCGTCCCTAAGAGCACAGGGCTGATCACTCTGCCCTGCTCTGCCGGGGAGGGCACAGTCCCCCTCACCTCTAGTCGGATCGTCTTCTTAATGCTGAGAGCCTTCGTAGCCTTGAAATACAGATGCACGCCAAACTCTGTGCGGGGACCAACGATGCCCTTATCTTGCGACACGGAGAAGTCCTCGCCGAGGTTTTCCAGCCCACTGAGCCGCCACACCACGGGCAGTGGGGTGCTGTTTCGCAGGACCAGGGTCTTGCTGTCCCTCCTGTAGAGACAGGAAGACACTCAGCACCGGTTGCTCGGCGGTCATGCTAGCCTTGCAACTGAATGCAACTTGGAGCAGCCCTATCCACGCATATGAAGCCATAGTTAAACGTTTTCTCTGTGTCACAAGCCTGAGAGGTGAGGTCCTTGGGGGAGAGCTTGGTGTTAGAAGTGTATCCAACAGAAGGGAGATAAGGAGGAGCAACTGGACTGCTCTCTGAACGAGCAGATGAGATACAAATGCATCGAGATGCCCATCGCACAGCATTGCTGGGGGGCTATGGAGCTCGTGGCTGTTACAGGATATCGAAGCCAGCGAGGAATGGTGAGCAAGAGACTGGGAATCGCTGGGAGAAAGAGGGATGCTAGCCCAGCCTCCAATCTGAGAGGTCACACAGCCAGCAAGAGAAGCAGAAGGGGAACTTGCTGACAGCTCTCATCCCCGGCTGACCTGTGCAGAAGCAGCTTGTCGAAATGCACCTGCTTGGGGCTGACCCCCAGCTCCACCTGCACCCCCTGGCAGCACAGGCGGAAGACCACCGGCTCTGGGTTCTCCTGAATGCAGCAGACGAGCTTGTCTTCCACGAGGCCAGCTGAAGTGGGGTACGCCCAAATGCTCAGCTCCTAGCGCCGTTCCCGCAAAAAGAAATACGGAAGAGCATCGGGTGAGCAGGAGGAATGGCTCCTGGGCCCTTCTACTGGTGCCTGCCCTACCTGCCCGTCTCCTACCTGCTTCTCGTTAGGTTTCAGCCTCATGCTGGGAGGGTCTAAAAGGAACGTGTCCGCTTTGAGATCGCGCTCAAAGGAGAAATGCACCTCTGCTTCCACGGGGGTGACGTTGAGGATGGTTATCTTCTCGTAGTTGCTGGGATAGTGCAGCGCCTTGTACCTGTCCACAAAAGGGGAAAAGGCTGCGGAGGAGACCCCGGGACCGTCGTCTTTATCACACATCGAGGAAAGCACTGTGCCCTGGCAGCGGGAGGCTGCACTGGAAGACCCCGGTCTAACAAGCAGGCTAAGAAAAAGGATCTCTTTCAGGGGCACGTTGCATGGCATGTGTGTTCATCCTTGCGTTACTTTGATGTCTGCCCCCGTACCTGGTGCCTCCATCTCAGAAGCGTGACGACACACAGGCCACTTAAATATAGAGCGTTTTACAAAATATAAATTCAAAGGTGCCTGGAAAAATAAAAGTACACTGGGCACAAGGGTTCTTCCCCCTTCTTTGTTGGGTTTCCTTCCCTGCAGGGTATAAAAAAAATGCTTTTGAAAAGAGGTTTTAAAAATAGTTTAGCTTATCCCTTTCAAAAAAGTCATGAGATTGCCATGTATTTCATGGGTTAGCTCCAAGTCTCAGGGAAGGAAATAGAAAGGATTAATTCCCAAGAGGAATGCTAAATTTAACAAATGTCCCTTCTCTCAGCTGTGGAACAGAATTTGGAGTTAAAGGGTTAAAAAAGCAAACAGACACCTGAGACCATTCATCAGCCTGGCTAAAGATCCTCTTTTGTTTTTTAAACTGCTTTGATTTAATTTCCTTGGGTTGTCAAAATACCACTAGCTCTCTAGAGCTCCCATGAAGACAAGAACTTCATTTTTAACACTAAAAAAAAAAAAAAAAAGCGCAATGTTAAAAATAGAAATATGCCAGCAGCTACAATGACAACTTTTTTAGGCAGGCTTTATCCAGCAGTGAGGATCAGGAAAATGTAAACCCCATTTTTATTCCTCTGCAGGTTCCCTCCCAACACACACATTGGCAGGTCAAATCTTACTAATATTACAGATTAATGAATGGTTTATAAAACCATCAGCAGAATAATTGCTCATTCAGTCTACCCGTAGAGCTTAAAGCACTTCAAAAAAGCACCATAAAGTTCATCTCATCGGTGGTGAAGCTGAGATGTGGAGCGGGGACACAAGTTGCCCCAAGTCACCTTCAGGCTGGAAGCAGCATGTGGCTCCGGCCACCGAGGCACCCACCGGGTAGGAAGATCATCTCTCTCTCTCCCCAGCTCCTCCAAGACTTATGTGCCTGTTACCTCCTCAAGTTCACACATCCGTGGCCCTTCAAACCTGTGTATCTCCCAGGTCTCTGCCTGGGCCTGCCCTGAATTGTGCCACTGGGACAGCGTGTCTCCAAGCGTGCCCATGAAAGCACGAGGCCCTGGAGATCTCATCCCAACACCTCACTCTGAGCAGGCAGCACATCAGGATGCTCACTCGGGGCGGGGAGCACGTACCAGTCTCTTGACTTCCCACACAACAGGGGTCCAAAGTGGAATACACCCGTGTTCATGACATACTGCTTGGAGATGATGTCATCATCCGCCTTGCTCTTCCTCTGGCAAGGAAACACCAGCCTGGGGAGAGAAAATGGGAAATGAGGCGCTGTGAGATGCTCCAAGCGGAAAACCTGGTCAGAAAGCCATAACCCTTATTGGTGGCTGAGGTACCAGTACTGCTTCCCAACTCCAAGCACGGGAAAAGATGCTGGGCTGCTCAGGCAGCACGCCCTGCCCAAGCCAGAAGGTCACAGGGTACAAGGGACAGCCCTGGTTCTGAGTTTAGGGGGAGGTAGTGTGGGAGGCTCCCATGGGCCGGCCTTACCGTGGGTCCTGGCTGATGGTGGGATACAGGCAGGTGCCCCTGCAGTGCAGCTGGTACAGACGGTTTGTCCCCAGGACCTCAAAATGCAGCGTCTGATCAAACTGGCCCAGCACCGTGGAGCTGAAGTGGACCTTCAGTTCCACCTCGCCACGGGCAGGTACTATCCACCGGCAGCTGCTCAGCCTGGCAATTAAAGAGGAGGTCTTCAGACATTGCTAACGAGCAAACGAGACAAGGAGGAGGGTCGTGGACACTCGCCATCCCATGGAGGTGCCAGCAGAGGGTGCATGCAGAGCTGGGGATGATGCACCTCGTTTGGCGAGATGGCCGTGAAGCAGAGGGATCACCTCATCCCTCACAGCTCACCTGACGGATCTCCTTGGGGATGGGACCCTGTCCGTGCCACTTTGGTCCACCTTTGGGGGACGTGTGGGTGCTCCCGTGCCCGGCCCCTGGAGACCTATCCTGCCCCGGCCGGAGCTCCGCTTCTCCCTCGCAGCCTCCTGGCTGCCCGTGGCTTTCTCCTTCCTCGACCGGCCCCTGGTTGGGGTGACCTGCTGCTCTGACATCTTCGCACCAAGGGGAGAGAGAAAAGGGGGAGAGGTGAGCCCTGCCCTGAGACATCCCCATCCTGGAAAGAAAGCTGCGGGTCTGATAACAAACAGGAGAAAGAATAAATAAGTAACCAGCATCTACCGGTTTCATATTTGCCCAGGAACTGGGTCTTCCTTATTGGACTTTGTTTTGCCTACGACACCTCTCCTCGCCCAGGACCCCTCCTCACCCAGGAGCCTCTCTTCAAGGGAAGTTGAGGGCTTTAGGTGATTTTTTTTGTCTTACAGAACCGCCCTATGTCTCAAGCAGAGCTCTCTCTTTTGGACAGACAAAAAAAGATGCCTGCAGACACCAGAGCCCGTCACGTCTTCACTGCCCTTCCACAGTGATCCTTTCCATCCTCCCCCCCCATGCCCCCATCCGGCCTGGCCCCTGCCCTGGCACCTTCACTGCAGACACGACGGGGGCATCCACGAGACTTTCGGTATCCTTCTTTTCATCTTCTGCAGTGGCACCTTCTGGCACAACAAAGACGAAGTGCTTGAGGGCTTCTCCTGCTGCAGGGGCCATCCGCTTCTCTGGGTAGCGGATCACAGAGTAAAAAGCGGTAGGGGGAATGGGAGGCCCTGAGGGACCCAGTCCCAGGCCATCCAGGATCTAAAGCGTAAGAGAAAACCCCGTTTATACTCCCGTCACCTTCATCCTCACACTCCTTCCTTACAGGCACTGAGCTTTTGGCAATGGGGTTTTTTTTTATTTCTATGGAGTGCAGTGGGTTTTTATGCCCAGTGGGGTGGGCAGGCTCCAGAGCAGTGCCAGGACCTACAAGCGGGACCTAGAGAGAAACCTCTCCCTTGAGTGACTCAGCTGAAGGAAACAATGACCGTGAGCTGCCCTGCCCTGGGACCATTTTTAATGATTTCCAGACTGGGAAACTCTCTGAACGGACAGGATGCTTGAACAGAGAGCGCTCCCTCCTTCCACCCATCTGAGGGATGCTGAGAACCTCCCCAGCCACGTGGCTGCTGCAGAGCTGTTGTGGGTCATCATCAGTGGCCTGGACAAGGCTCTGTGCCATTGTCACCTGGCGGGACACACTGCACCAGGGCCCACGTCATGGCAGGTTCAGCATCTGAGCCTCGCGGGGCTTTACCTGCTCTGCCGCTGGCAGCTTGCCGCTCTCCAGAATCTTCCTAGTCACATCTTCTGAGCTCAGCACCTGGATGTCCAAGCAGGGCACCCCGACATCCTGGCCTCTGGCTGACCCTCCTGCACCTTCCCCTTCCAGCTGAGATAACTTGGAGTCCTCAAGAGCCTTCAGTTTTTCCAGCCGCTCCTTCTCCAGGCGTTCTTTCTCTGCACGCTCCTTCTCCAGCCTCTCCTGACGCTCCTTCTCTCTGTCCTTCCGGCTCCTGCGGCTGGATAAATGCTGGCGCTGGTCTTCTGCTTGGTGCCACACCTCCTCTTGGTTCAGAGGGGAGAGCAGGATACCCTGAAACCTGTCCCAGGATGACAAAATATGCGCGACATCCTTCTGCGATGCCTCGTAGATCTTAAACCTCAGGGCCAAGTTCTTCTCGCTGTCACTCTGGGCCTCGTTTTTGGTTTCCTCCTTTTCTGGCTCTGCGGGTTGCACAACCACCGCCGGGCAGGCATCCGTCAGGGCAACCCTGCTCTGCTTTTTCTTATCTTCCTTGTCACCTGCAACAGAGTCTGGGTGCTCCTTTACAGATCCCTTCTTGTCTACCCCCTCGGTGACATCCGACCGGTTGCTGGTGGACACATTGGTGTTGCTGGTGGATGTGTTCGTGTTCTGGGCAGAAGGAGCAGGAAAAAGCAGTGAGCGGTTCAAGGCACCAACTCAAATGCTGTAGGACAGCGATGATCTTTGCAATAGCACCCCGAGCCTCGTCTGAGACCTGTGCTAGGTACTCTACAAATCCCAATTCAGAACGCAGCTGGTGCCCAGTTTAGCTCAACTGAAACCAAACTCCCCGGTGCCAGACTGATGAGGAGACCTGCAAACCAGCTGAGAAACAGAACAGCTTCCCAAACCAAACAGGGAACTTAAGACACCTTCTTACTCCTGGGCAGTCCTCTGGGCTCGTTTCTGGCGTGTTGAGCATCCCCATGGCTGGCTGACTCTTTGGGAAGTCTGGTTGCTAATGAATACCTAAGGCCTGGTGGTATCTCCTGCCAGACGTGTAGGAAAAGACACCACAGCCCAGACGGATCATGGCTCAGAGGTGTAAGTCACACGCAAAGCGGGGAGAAACACTGGACTGAAACTATCTAGGGCTTCACAGTGAATGTATGGGGTTATGTGAAGCCATGACTCAAAGGCAGCATGATCCTAGAAGAGCAGCTCTCCTACAAACCCATGGGAAAACATCTCTGGTGAAGCAGCAGCATGATCCAACACCAGCTGCTGTCTCCCAGCACAGCCCCACGTGTTACTCACGGCCAGGTACTCATCCCCAGCACTGCATGTGGCTGCTGGCTTCTCGGGGAATGGTACAACTCAGCGGGAAGGTCCCCAGGGCTTTTACTCATCTCTATAAACACAGCCACCCACCTGCCTGACTCCAGGCTGGCTTTTCTTCCCTGAAGCATTATCTTTGTCTTTTCCAAGCTCTCTCTTCCCCCGCTTAGACTTCTTCTTCAGCTCTTCTTCCTCCTTCAAGCGTTCTAGCTCCCGCCGGTGCTTTTCCTCAAGCTCTCGAGCCAGCTGCTCCATCTCCCTTCAGCAAGCCAAACAGAAAACATCCCTGAGAGTCACCGCCAGAAATTGGAGCTCGCTGCAATCCCAGCTGGTCCTGCGCTTCATTGACCCTGAGGCCAGTTAGAACTATCAGACCAACTCCATAGACTTCCCTCAACCTGGGGAGGCTGGGAACATCCAAACTAAGGAAAGGTGGGAGGGGACCTCCAGGGCCAGCCAAATCTAGGCTTTGCTGTCATAAGGTCTCAATTGTGCTGCTTCTCCAATAAGGTCCACCTGGACACCTCCAGCACGCTGCCGAAGACCGAGCCACCATCTCTCCACACTTGTGCCTGAAGCCCTCTCTTGATTTCCCAGTGTAAACCAGCTCGTAAATCACTAACACCTACTTATCCCTGCACCAATACTTACTTGGCTTATCCAGCCCTTCTTCTCCCTGGGCATAGCCTGCTCCTTAGCGAGAATAATCATATCAATCAGAAAGCAAAGGCTGCAGTAACTCCCCTCCTGCAGAACAGGCTCTAAACAACCAGGTTTCCTGCTGGAACCCAGTCGCGAACCATGGGAAACTTGTGCTGTCTGTCCTGGAAATCATGATTTGAAGCAGCCCTAGTGATCTCCTCCCAGGGAAACAAACTTCAGCCTGGGCCGAAAGAAGTGCCGAAACACACACTCGCTTTAAGCAGGTCTCCCCCCACCCAGTTTCAGGCAGGGATTAATACAGGCTTACACTTATCCTATGCATCCTCCTGAACACGGCTGCTTTGCTGGATCAGAGCTTCTCCCAGGCTCACCCACTGCTGCTGCAGCTGAAGGTGAGCCTAAGAGACACCAGCTTTTATGGCTGGGGTCACTCAAGTAAGGAAAACCCTGGGAGATCAGCATTGCAGGGACTTCACCTACAGCAGGACTGGTATCTAAACCAAGCTAGCACAGCTGCGCCTCACACCAATCCACGCCACAACCCCTCTGGTTTGGTGAAGAAGGGAGATGACGAAAATGAGAATCAAAATAACTTGGAGACACTTCTAAGTGCAGCGGCAAGGCGAGCACAGAGCCCAGCTCCCTGCATCTCGCCAGAAGAAGGTCCTTCCTCCCTTGGGAACCAGGGAGGTGGAACTGGCCATCCTTGGGCCGCTTGTAATAGACACTTTTGGCCTTTGCTCTGTAACCCCTCTGAGCTCAACCCCGGTCTCTGGAGCAGGGAAACCCTTCAGGGACACTGTCCTGGGGAGTTACCCATGGAAGGCTTACAGACCTCTTCTTCCTCTCACGCTGGACTTGTCGTATACTGTTATTAAACTGAGCTTTCTGCTCCTCAGTGAGGGCATCATACTCTTCCTCATCCATCTCCCAGAGACGTGCTCTCTCCCTCCTGGCAGCTTCTTCCTGCTCCCGTCCTTCAGCACAGACCAGAGGAGAAACCATTAGCGACTGCAAGCAGAGCTTGCCGTTCTGGGTGAGCTGCGAGGATTCACAACTCTGCCCCAACCCAGCTTGTCATCCTGCCAGGAGATACTGGGGAGCCCATATCCCTGCTCCAAAATTCAGATAATCCCCTAAACTCTCGGCGGTCAGCAAGTTCCCATGCCTTGCCCGGCTCACATGCACCAGCGCTGTGGACAGCTAGCCGATGGTTAGTTATTGAGCCACAACAGCTTGCACTTGTGCCCAAGCTTTCACGTTGGAGACTAAGGTAAGCCTTACAGCCTCAGCTCTGCTGTATTTTAAGCAACCGCGAGCTGAGTGCTGACTACACTGAGGCAGAAGGTGGAAGGATTAACAAAAACATTTCTTACAAGCTCTGCTGGTAACCCAGATACACGTGGATAAGGCTGAGGGCTTGAGAGAGAAGATTTGAGAGGTACAGAGATGATGAATCTTACCTTCCTGCTCTTTTGCGGCTGTCTCCCTGGCTTTCAAAGAAGCATAATCCTGGAACAGGTTCACAAAATAGATATAAGGCCGATTTCTGACAGCTTTGAGCAGGCAGAGGAGAGCAGACGCCGTGTTGCGTGCAAAGAGGGTCTCCAGGCCATCAAACACCACTCCCTGGTAGCAGTCACTCAACTGCGAATAAAGTTGAAAAGGAAGAGAAAGTCAGCTATCGCACGCACTGGGCTCTCAGCTAGTCAGTAAACCCAAATGTCAAAGGACACCAGCCACCGCTGTTCCAAGTGCAGCAACACAGGCAACTCGGCTCTGATCCTTCCCTGCACTCTGCCAACTTACGGCATCTGCAGCTTCACCCAAGGATCCCTGCACGCAGCCTAGGACTCCTCCAACAGCAGACATAGACCTCCTCCTCTCCGAATTGTACCTCGCTGCCTGTCTCTCTGTAGCAGGAACGTATCATTTGCCCCCACCACACGTACCTGCAGCCTTTCAGAGAGGATGGCCACCAGCAAGTCCTCGGGCAGCACGCAGCTCATAAAGCCCAGCTCTCCCGCTGTGCTGCCACTGACGCTCAGCCATCGCTGCGCAGGAACGCAGGGAAGTGGAGGGATGAGATGAGAACTGGATGAGCCCTGCAACATTGAGCACCACAAGAAAAATAAAACACTTCGGAAACTCCCGAACAATTCCAACTGCTGGGCTTGGAGCTGGGGTTTCTCACTAGCGGGAGACTAGAACAAAACCGGAGGCCAGCAGCTCCTGGGGACAACCCTGGAGGGCACATCCCTTGGCCAGCAGAGACCCAAGCTTGCAAGCCCCCGGCACAGCATCCCGCAGCTTTGCCCACTGCCTGCAGCCACGTTAGCCAGGACTGCACTTTGCCAAGACTAGAACAAAACCGGAGGCCAGCAGCTCCTGGGGACAACCCTGGAGGGCACATCCCTTGGCCAGCAGAGACCCAAGCTTGCAAGCCCCCGGCACAGCATCCCGCAGCTTTGCCCACTGCCTGCAGCCACGTTAGCCAGGACTGCACTTTGCCAACAAACCGTTAAGACCCAGCAGAGTTTTTCTGCCAGAGCACAGGGTTTCTCGTTCCCAGCCCGAGCCATGCTCAGCCTGCCCAGCTGGCTCTCTGCGCTATATACCCCTGCACCAGGCTCTGGGTGACACGGAGCCTCCACTGTAAGCAGCCCCTTCACTTCTCAAAGGCAACAGAAAGGTCCCAGGTGTTAACCAGTGCAGATCATGCTTCACCTGGGAGCCTGCCGGATCTGTTAGATGCTGTTTCTGGGATTGGGATGCGTGGCTATCCGTCTTCCTCTTGCCCGCTGCGGCGCTCGTCCGACCTCGGGAACTGACGGACTGCAGGCTGACTTTGTCCCCGGAGCTGGACTGGCTCACGTCTGGGCTGTGCTTGGCCTCGGAGCTGAACTGCAGGCTGAGGGAGACCTCTGCGTTTTGACCTGCGGAGGGGACAGACGGCTCAGCAGGGCTGGTGACGGGCACTGCGGGGAGCAAGCAGGCACCTTCCACCCCAATGGGCACAGCCCTGTGCCCTGGTAGGGACACAGCACTCGTCCCCCAGCCTGCCGGGCGCTAGCAGCACTGCTCTCCAGAAGCAGCTCCTTCCCTGCTTCTCTTATTAGCATGATAAAGCACACCATCTGATACCGGATTTTAAAGCCAGAGAGTTTTTAATGCACAGCCCTGTGTCCCTCCTAACAAATGTGCACGCGGGTGACACTGTTTGCACAGTAGCTCCCCTACGGATCAAGCCAAGGATTCGTTCTCCAGGACCATCGTCTCCGTACCTTGCACCCATCCTGCATTTTCACATGGAGACTGTAACATGCAGCCCTGCCCCAGCTGCATCACCCATCTCCACTGGAGCTAAATCCTCCGTGTGGGATAACCCCACCCAGGACCCAGGCCCTTCTTCCCCCCACCAGCTCCCAACCCAACCAGCTTCAAAGCTGAGCGATGCAAAACTTCCCCCACCAGAGCCAGGGTCCGGCCTCACCCTGCAGAGCTCGGGGCACCAGCTGCCCAATAAAGTTTCCTAAAAGTCTCCGGTCTCACATGGAGAACAGCACAACATGCACGAGCTGTGTGACCTGACAGCGTGTATAGGAATATCTCCGGAGAAAGGAGCTCATCTGCAGTGTGTCTCTCATCTGAAACTCCCCCGGGGAGGTTATTCTTCCCTTCCTCTCATGTTTGTGAAGCCACACTCAAAGTCAGTTGTCTAGTGCTTAATGAGCCACTTCAGAGGGCTTTTTCCTTGTTAAAGTGGGCAGCAGTTCTGCCTGATGGCCGTGAGGAGCAAGCTGGATTCAGCTTTGAGGAAATATAAAAAACTCTGAGAAAGATACAGGTGTGCTTCACCGCTCCTAGGAAAAGGAACATGTGCCCAGAAGCCCAGGGGCAGTAAAAGTGCCGCTGTCTGAGCCCTTAAAACAGAGATTTTTAATTTTTTTTTTTTTAATAACCAGAGATGCTTTATGAAATGGCTTTGCATTTCTACATGCTGCACCCATGTTCCCTAAGAGATCCAAGGGCTGTCAAACTTCTCTGGAGCAAGCAGAACTGGATGGTCGTGGTGGGTTTCTGAAGCGCTGCTCTGGGTTCAGCGTTTCTCCTTACCAGCATCCTCTGTCTCCTTGTGGCTCTGCTCGATGGCAGCCCTGATGCACAGCTCCCGGGCGCGGAGCCCTGCCAAGCTGCTCCTGTCCGAGATGGCTTCTGTCACCACGGCGTCGATGGACAAGCAGGCAGCACCGTAGTATTTGGACAGGGCAACCGCTGCCAACGTCTTGCCTTGAGAGAGAGGAAGACTGCTTGGTGACACTTGCACGTGAGGCATTTTCAGGGACAGGCTCTGGAAATCCCCCGAACAGGATTTCAAAGTTTCAAGGATGGTCAGAAAGCAAAGTGCCGCTTTAGGGGAAACCACGAGGGAGGCAGTTTGAGCATGGTTAGAAGTGTTGTCCTCTAGAGCCAGGTGGATCACCTCCACTTCATGTTCAGCTGAGGACTTCGACCCTTGTGGTGACTTCAACCCTGGGCCAGGGTTTCGAGCCCTGTCCCACCACCATTCAGACCATTTGCTAGCCTGTGCTGCTCAGCGCTGTCTCAGGCAACGTCTGGGCACGGTTTGGGGGTCAGTATGGGCTAGGGACTGCGCCCACAAGGCAACGTGGACACTAGGCAGTGTGGTCCCACAAGGCAACGGGGACACGGCCACTCTTTGGGGGAATGAGAGCCTAGCTGTATGGACACAAGATGAGCCATGCCATTTGTACCAGCTAGGCAAAGACCTGGGATTGTTTCATGTACCAGCAGAGCTGTGGCTTACCTCGCTTCGCTTCAACTGATCAACCAAGCACCATGGCCCACCAGGATACGTCTCTCCCGCTTTCCCGGCCTCCTCGCAGCCAAGGGCTGCAGCTCACGTACCTGTCAGGGGTGCCCCGTGGACGATGACGACAATCCCTCTGCGGTTTCGGGCTGCGCGCCCTTCTGCAGAGATATCGATGCCAAGGTGGCGGGCGATGGCCCTATAGACAGGACTGTCGTCCAGTTCTCCCGCGGCCTCCTTGCTGCTAGCGGTGCTTTGCCGATGCTCTGCTGTGCAGAACCGGGTACAAAAGTCAGCCTCCTGCCTATCTGTGATCCTGATCATCCTCCCCATCCCCTCAGATCCTGGGAGAGGAGACTCTGCTGAAACCAGCATCATGCTCAGGGTCTCCCCATGCCCTTCCTTCAGGCTTGTGCAGATCAGGGTCTGCCCTAGATGCTGGTAAAGGTTCCTGTTCAGATTATAGTAAATGGGGTGGCAGAAAGAGGAAAGAACAAGCGTCCGGCAATACCTAAAAGGACAGGGCCAAGGCTCCTTCCATGAGCTGTCAACATGGTCCTCATGGGAGTTTGGTCCCGGGTCCTGCTGAGTGAGTCGGGGACATGCAGAACTGGGCATTTTACACAGTCCCAAGGGAGAGGCTCCATTTGGGGGTCAAGCAATTATCCGAAAGCCGGATGCTTTAGGAATATTATACCAGGAGATCTGGCTGGGCTCTGAATTCACCATAACAGCATTTACAAAGAGCTCCCACCTTTGCCCTTAGAAGGTCACCGAAAGCCATCTTGGCTTGCGATGTCACATAGGACAAAGAGTGTGCTGCCTAGGGAAGGGAACAACACCATCCTGATCCCACAAAGAGTGTGCTGCCTAGGGAAGGGAACACCATCCTGATCCCGGCAGCTCCTGGGAGCAAAGGTGCTCATTTGGCAAAGCTGGGGAAAACCTCCCTGGTCTCTCACTTGTCCCTGCCCCAGACTCTTCTCAGGATCCTACAGACTTCATAGGCAAGCGTGGGTTCAGGGCCTACAGGACTGAAGATGGCACCAGGCTGCAGTGAAGCGATGGAGGTGACACTGAAGTCATCCGCTGAGGCCCTTTTGCCACAACAGACATAAAATAGGTGAAGAGCTTAGGGTTATTACCTGTCCCGCGTCTTTTCTCAGCACCTTCCTCCTCCTCTTCTCCACATTCAGATTTAGAGTCCACCTTGTTGGACTGGCTTTCATCAAAAATGGAGGAGGGAATGACTGAGCTATGGGATGAGGTGGTGTGAACGATCCCAGCAGAGTGCTTTCCTCCTTGATCCGACAAAGACTGGACATCTTCTGAGTTTGCTGAGGAGGAAGGACGTGGGGAGGGAAGAAGAGGGTGAACATGGCCAGACAATCTACTCTTTGCCGTTTGCCACTTTGCACGGCCACGTGCAAAAGATGGAAAATTTCCCAAGGAGGGAAACTCCCAAGGCACCGAGAAGCCTGTCGTGGTTTAACCCGGCAGGCAGCTGAACACCACACAGCCTTTCGCTCACTCCCCCCCACAGTGGGATGGGGGAGAGGATCGGGGGGCGGGGGGGAAGAGTAAAATTCATGGGTTGAGATAAAGACAGTTTAACAGGACAGAAAAG